AACATGAGAATGACCCATTTCTTCCTACTCTGCCTCGTGTCTGTTACCCAAGCATTAATCACCCCTTATTCTCTTGTTCCATTTTTATTTTAAACGCACTTCCTGTGGGACAGCCTTCTCAAAATCTACGTATACAAAATCCACCAGCTTTCCTGCATCAATTACTTCAAAAATTAAAGGACAGGGCTGGGACTTGTTTTCGCTGGAACATAGGAGGTTAGGGGTGACCCTGTAGAGGTTTATAAAATCACCAGGGGCGTGGATAAGGTGAATGGCAGGTGTCTTTTCTTTAGGGGGGGGGGGGTTTCAACACTAGGGGGCACATTTTTAAGATGAGAGGAGAAAGATTTTAAAAAAGGAATGAGACAATTTTTGTTTTTAAACACAGAGTGGTTCGCATGTGGAACAGACTTCCAGGGGTGATGGATGTAGGTAGTTACAGCATTAGTTTGGGGGGGAATACAGGCCAGGGGCAGGCAGGTGGGACTAGTTTAGTTTGGAAACATGGTCGGAATGGACTGGTTGGGCCGAAGGGTCTGTTTCTGTACCGTATAACTCTATGACGCTTCTGAAAAAAATTCCCAGATAGGTCAAACACGATTTCCTATTTGCAAACCCATGCCATGGCCAATCAGCTCATTACCATCCAAGCGTACATTTATCACAGTCTTGTGTAATAGATTGTCGTATTTTCCCTCCTAATGATGTAGGGGCTAACAGCTCTCTGTTTTCTGGCTTCTTAAAAAAACGGGGTGGTATTTGTTCCCTTCCAATCCACTGGGATCACTCCAGAATCGACAAAATTCTGGAAGATGATCACCGATATATTAAGTAAAAACCAAAACAAAAATGTGGATGCTGGAAATGTGAAACAAAAACAGACATTGCTGGAAAAGCTCAGCATGTCTCTCCGGCAGCATCTGTGGAGAGAAGTCAGAATTAACGTTTCAGGTCCAGTGGTCCTTCCTCAAAGTTGATGGTAGCTTGGAAAAAGTTGGTTTTTGTGAGAAGATAAAGTGGGGAAAGGGGTAAACGATAGGTGGAGATAGAGCCTAAAGAGAGAGAAAAACTGTTGTACGGACAAAGGAGTGGATAATGGCCACCCCCAGGAGAATGAATAGCTACTAATGGGGGCAGTCCATGTGGTAACAAGGCCTGGTGATTGGGAGCAGGACTAAGCACATGGGAGAAGGTGCCTCAATCTCTAAAATTGTTGAACTCGATATTGGGTCCAGAAGGCTGCAGTGTCCCCAAGCAGAAAATGAGGTGCTGTTCTTCCAGCCTGTGCGGAACTTCGCTGGAACACTACAGCAAGACTGAGACAGAGATGCTGGCCAGGGAACAGGGTGGTGTGTTGGGGTGAAGGCAACTGGGAGCTCAGGGTCCTTTTTGCGGACAGAACGTAGGTGTTCTGCGAAGCGGTCACCCAGCCTGTGCTTCGTTTCCCCCAGTGTAGCGGAGACCACATTGTGAGCAGCGAACGCCGTAGACCGGATTCTGGGAAGCGCAGGTGAAGTTACACTGCCTGTGATTGCCGGGGAAGGAGGTATGTACGTGCGGGTGCATTAGCGCGTGTGTATATACCTCAAGGCACCAGTCAACCTCCACCAATTTGTGTGTCTCCCCCCTTAACCTCACTGAAGATTAGAGCCAGAGGGCCCCGATACAAGACAGAAATGAGGCACCTTTCCCCCTCAACAGGGAGTCGAGCAGCTTTGGAAATCTCTTACGGATGGAAGCAAAGTTTTCCACTATTAAGCTGGAAGATGACAGATTCTTGGTAAGCAAGGGTAGGGTGGGGACGGGGAAGGAATGAGAAATTAGCAGCAGGTAGGGCGGAAGGGTGGACTAATCAGACCAGCCAGGAGGTTATCAGATGGAGCAGCAGTTCCGGAGGGCTGAATGGCCTCCTTCTGACCCTGACGCGTACATTTCAGTGTCTGCGGAATTCTGTCGCCCAGACAGCAGTGCAGAGGCAACGGGGAGGAGCTGGGTCACTGAATATCTTGAGGGCCGAGTTAGAGAGAGTTGTGACTGAAGAGCAAACAGAGGGTAATAAATCAGCGAGAAGGGGGTTGGGGGCAGAGCCTGATTTTACCGAATGGGAAATAGCTGAATGACCCACCCCTGCTCCAGTGGGCACTGAAGAATTCGGGACTATTTTCAAGGGCATGTCAGTGTGGGCGTTGGAATCGAGGGGGACTGCGCCGCAGGCAGGAAGCTGGGAGTGGAGACCGCGGTTGGGCCGGCTGCTGCCTCGTTGAGCAGCAGGGCAAACCCCGAGGGATTGGACATCTTGGAGAAAACAAGAGCGGGGACGAACTCGCCGCTCACCTGTGCCCAGGGCGAGGAACTGGGTGCCGACGCCGAGCACGGAGCACAGGAGGCTCTTGTGCGGGGGGAAGCGGAAGACGTCGGTGTGGACGATCTTCCAGCCGTTGTCGGCCTGGTCGAAGTCGTCGGCAGCGGCCTCTTCCTCCAGGTTGTAGCGGGCGAAATCGTTGCGCAGAACGCGCATGAGGATGATGACGACGAAGCCGGTCAGGAGGAAGACCAGCACCATGGAGTTGATGATGGACAGCCAGTGGATCTCCAGTGTACGGGGGAAGAAGCTGGAGTCACGCAGACGCTCCCCACGTCGCTCGTACGGGAAGCTGGTCTCGTGCCAGTACACACTGTAGGTGTGGGCCATGCTGACTGGTGCCCGCAGCTCATCCAGGCTGAAGGGCTTGACATCCCGCACGCTGACGTTGGCGTAGATGACCCGGTCGCCGTTGAACTCCACATGGAAGTCCAGGTGGGTCCACAGGCCGATCTTGTGGGTGTGGGGCAGGAAACCGCTCTCCTCCAGGTAACCCACAAAGCCCCGGATCGGGATGTCATCCAGCACAAACTCAAAGTAGTACAGCTCTTCGATGGCCTCCTTCAGCTCCTCGATCTGGGGTGGGTAAAAAAAGACCGTTAGGGGCAACAGCCGCATTAGGGGCACTCCAGCCTCCCTCAGTGCCAGTGATAGCAGTACGGCGGTCAGCTATCAAGTCTCACAGTCAATCGATTGTCTCCATTGATCCCAGAAAGCTTTATTCAGAAGGCAAACCAGTGGGAGGGGCCTGCCATTCGGCCTCGCGAGTCTGCTTCTGACCTTGGCTCATCTAATCTCTTTCCTGCCCCATCCTCCTCGGCGTTTGTAACTCTCTCCGACTTTCAGTGAGCTCCCCTCCCCACTCAACACTGCTCTCCGAAGACAATTCCACAGATCTTCGGAGGGAAAACAAATTCCTCCTCACCTCCCTCTTCAATGGGAGTCCCCCCCCGCCAATAATTTTAAATGTGCTCCATTCCCCCCTCAGAGGTTCATAAAATCATGACAGCTGTGGATATGGTGAGTGGCAGGTGTCTTTTCCCTGGGGTGGGGGATTTCAAGACTGGGTGCATATTTTTAAGGTGAGAGGAGAACAATTTACAAAAGAAAAGGAGCAATTTTTATTTTTTTTTTAAGACAGAGTGGTTTGCGTGTGGACTGCAATAAGTTTTGGGATGCAGGTACAGGTACGTTTAAAAGCAATTTGGATAAGTATATGAATAGGAAATGTTGGGAAGGATTTGGGCCAGGAGCAGACAGGTGGGACTAGTGTAGTTTGGGACTACAGTCGGCATGGACTGCTTGGACCAAAGGGTCTGTTTCCGTGCTGTCTGACTCTATGGATCAACCCAGTCGACCTTCTCCGAGCTGCTCCCAGTGCCAGTATGTTCCTCCCCAAGTCAGGGGATCAGAACACAGCGTTCGGTCCCACCAATGCCCTGCTCAGGCAACAAGGCAGAGATAGGGCAGGGTGGGCATCACACCTGATGCTTTTGGAGTGAATCCTCAACCAGAAAGAAGGATTGAGAACCAGTGCTCGAAGAGATGGAAGAAAGGGAACTGAAGGCGGACATCTCGCTGACCCCTGTAATCCAGTCTGATGCCAGAACTGTACTGCACTGGCTTTTATATTCCATCCCCACCCGTAACATTTGTCCTGTATCTTTGTGTGTCAGTTTGGACAGCAGTTTAAATTGGAGAAAGTTAAACATCAGCAATATACACTTCTTCTTTCCCTACTGGGTGAAATTAATTGCCTGCAATAAACAGATTTACTTCATAATAAAAAACTTGGCATACGCATTATTTCAATTTGGATTACAGAGTTAGGTTAAACTAC